GGGAGAAGGGAGAAGGGAGAAGGGAGAAGGGAGAAGGGAGAAGGGAGGGAGGATGCGTGAAGTATTTAGGACCCAGTGGCGGTAAGATTAGGAAACAAGATAGTCTTCAGGTGCCGCACCGGTGCAGCTGTAACGCGGCCTCGGCGGCCGGCCGCTAAGTTCAGCTCCGCCCCTCCCACTGTGCCGTCAAATAAACTGGGCGTTTCCAGCCTGGGCCCCCAAGGCTGTCGCAGTCACCACCCTGCCCGCGGCCGCTGATCTCCGGGTCGGCTCGCCGGCTCACTCTTCCGGACTCCCAGGGCTGGGTGGGGCGACCGGCTGCGATCCTGGCCACCCCCTCTACCTGGGACTTTCCTCCGGTCAGAGCTACACAAAGATCTCCCTGTCCTTCAAAGTCCAATCGCCTTCCCTGCCCCGCCCCCGCCCCACCTGGCCCCTGGCTCGACCCTACACGTCTCCACCCCTTCTCCTCCTTTCCAACACCATCTACAGAGTTTGATTTGAACTTTCGAACTCGCCAATCATCGCCCTCGGTGCGGCCCGGGGCGGGGTCTGGTGTCCGCCTTCCCGGCTCGTGGTCTGGGCCAGGGTATATAAGACCTCTCCTGGAGGCGGACCTCTCACTGCTGCTCCCCCGGACTCCTTGGTAGTCTGCTAGTGGGAGGTCCTTATCACCCTCTCTGACTCAGTTTTCGCGGACCACTTCAAGGACTAAATATGGTGAGTGTGGCTGTGGGGCAGGGATGGGAACGTCTGAAGGGACCGCAGGAACTGCGGACTGCCCGGGGATCTGTGTCTGCGACAGCCCCCGACGGCCGCCTCCAGTTAGGCTGGTTTCTGGCGACCGGAGTGGGAAAGCCTAGTCCACCAGACTGGAGTCGCTTGCTTCCCTCTTGACGGCACTGGGAGAATGTCCCGTCTGGTCTGCTGGCCGTCCCTGGAAAGGCAGGGAGCTTTCACATTGACCACAAGAGAGTGGAGAGACTAAAGGGTCTCCTTTTTTCAAATGATGTCGCTTTCGCTGCTGGGGTACCCCAGAGGACCTCGTGCGCTCCGGACAGACTGAGCAAACACTTCCGGGCACCGTCCCCACGCCCTGTGACTCGCTGCTGAGTCACCTGTGGCCAATCCCGGGACCTACCAGCTGCAGCTGTGCACCTGGGAAGGCGAGCTCCTCCGTGAAAGGGAACAGTCAGCCGTCAAATATCCCCTAATCCAGCCTATTTCTAGTTCAGTGGTATATTAAGCTAAATTCAACACATCCATAAGACCTTTTTTTATAAAGGTAGAGCAAAGTACTATTAAAAACATATTGTTTGTTTTTAATTGGTTTTTCGAGACAGGGTTTCTCTGTATCTTTGAAGCCTATCCTGGAACTACCTCTGTAAAAGTGATCTGGCCCCGAACTCAGATCTGCCTGCCTCTGCCTCCCGAGTGCTGTGTTAAAGTCGTGTGCCATCACCGCCCTGCTCAACAAATATTTTTTGTTATCTGAGCTTGAGAGTTGAGGCAGGAAGATGCTGTGAGTTCAAGACCAGTCTGGGCTAAACAATTATCAAGTTACCATGTAGCTCATGGGTCATGTTCAGTTTTAAAGAAATAGAAACTCGGGGGGGGGGGCTGGTCTCTGGGCTCTGGAGGCAGAGTTTAGGTCAGCCAGTGAGACCCTGAGTGGGTAGTTTCTGGAACACTTGGGGAGCTGAGGCAGGGGGATTGTTCATGAGTTTGGGGCTTCTCAGGCTCCCTAGGGAGTCCCAGGCTAGTGTGACCTGCAGTAAACTAATCTTTAAAAAAGGAACCTCCTTGCTAAGTTTAATATTTTAGGAGACCATTTGCCTAGCCTGGAAGGCACCGAGTTCATATTCAGTACCTTAGAAGAGAAGGGAACGATTTAAAAGTTCATACCGGTACTGCTTTTGAAGGGCACAGTTTCATAATTCAGGGTGACAACTCCATTAACCACTTTTTGGCCTAGCTCCTTCCCACGTTTCCCATAAAGCTTGTTTAGGTCAAAGGTGGTGGCACACGCCTTTAACCCCAGCATTTAGGAGGCAGAGGGAGGCATAGATCTCTGGTCTATGTTGCAGGACAAATCCAGTTGAAAACAAATCTGTCCAAGGCCATGCGATGGTGGCACACGCCTTTAATCCAAGGACAGGCTCCAAAAGCTACGGAAAAACCCTGTCTCAAACAAAACAAAACAAAATCTGTCAAGGGCCCCACCACTACATCAGGGGCATCAGGTTCTCTTGTTTTCTTTTTGGTTTTTCGAGTTAGGGTTTCACTGTGTAGCTTTGGAGCCTGTCCTGGAACTTGCTCTTGTAGACCAGGCTGGCCTCGAACTCAGATCGGCCTGCCTCTGCCACTTGTGCTGAGATTAAAGGTGTGCCACCACCGCCTGGCAAAGTATGGTTCTTAGCGCATCCCAGGGATAATGAAAGGTCTATGGAAGTTTTGGGGGAGGGGAAGGTCACCCTAGGGCTGGAATTACAGGCCTGTGCCACCACGTCTAGGTCTTGCAGAGCTGGAACAGAGGCAAGACCTCTTCCAACTGAGTTAAATCCCCAGCCCAAAAGCTGATGGTGGTTTTCGTTTCACTTAACTTGTGTGGCTGTGATTTTAGAATCCTCAGTAAGCTTGTGGACCAGGAGTGGGCGACTTTCCCTGGGGTTGAGGCTCCGAAGTAAGTCCCGTTTACCAAATGGGCCAGCTCCTCTTCCACACCCGAAGAAGAAACTTTTTTTAAGATTGTATCCTGAAAAGGGGGATTCAGTCAGTAACTGGGTGCTTGAATGTTTCTGACTAAGCTCGGCCAAAAAGATGCAATTCAGAAAAGCCTGGGGCTCACCTGTTGGGCAAGCACTGTTTAAGTGAATGGCTTTGTGAAAGACAAGCTGCTTATCCAGTTGAGGCTGGACTAGGCCAAGTGACTCATCTGACGGTGATGTCGCCTTTTCAGCTTCCAGGACCAGGTTTTGCATTTATCTGTGGATGTATGTGCACCACAGCTTGCGTGTGGAGTTAATGGGCCACATGGGAAAGCTGGTTCCCTTGTTCCACTAAGTAGGTCCCAGAGATTGAACTCAGATCATTCGGCTTGGAGGCAGTACAGACTGATTGGGGACCAAAAGACTCTCAGACCTTGCTTCCTGGGCCTGTAGGCAATTCCCTCTAGCTTCCGGAACTGTTGGAGGTTCTAAAAGTCCAGGTGAAGGTCATTTGACCAAGAGTTGCACTTCCGCCACAGTCCTCAGGGCAGGAGACACTGAACTCACTGTGGTCAGAACCCTTGATTGTTTTATGGGAAACACAGAAGGAAAGGCCAGGTCAAAGGTTGTGAGTAATGTCTTATTTCATTATCCTGGGCTGTGAAACTTACCGTTTTCCTGCCCGGGAGTTGACTCTGGTGTTTTGCATGTTTTCTTCTTTTTATTTAATTTGGAATTTTAGCTCATAGAATGGTGTTACCCACCCAGGATGGCCTTCCAGCCAGTCTCAGTCAAGCCTTTCCGGAAACGGCTTCATAGAAGTACCCAGAGGCCTGGCAGTGGTGGCACACACCTTTAGTCCCAGCACTTAGGAGGCAGAGTCCCATGGATCTGAGTTCAAGGGCAGCCTGGTCTACAGAACAAGTTCCAGGACAGGAAAAGCTACACAAGCCCTGTTTCTAAAGAACCAAAATAAATAAATACAAGCATGAAAGTCCTAGTAGGAACGATGAGGTTTTCTGCCAGATTCCAAGTCTCCTCTCAGGAATTATGAGCATGGGTTCCTCCTTCATCCTATGAGTCCAGGGCTGCCTCACTGACTAATCAAATATGGGTTTGGTAGCTTCAGAATTACAGTGATCAGGAAGGAATGAAAAACAAATATTCCCCCACTGTTAAATTCTTACAATTTTTCCATAGTGCCAGAAACGTACAATATCATCATCTCCTGGGGAACGACTAATTTCTCCTTTCTCTCCCCACCCTCCAGCCTCATTTCTTAGTGTGAAATTTCGGGAGCCGTCTGGCCTTTACAGCATCTTTTCCTCCCAGCAGATGGGTTGACAGTGGAGGAAAAATGCTTTCCTTACAGATTAGAGTCTCACTGTGTGGAAAGGCTGCCACTGTCCACACTTAACGCAGAGTCAACTGCCTATCTAGCATTTTCTCTGTGAGTCATGGGGCTGGTTTAGGCTGGTTTTAAAGCGGAGAGGAAGTTTTGTCTCCTAAAGAACTGGATTAAAGAGGAACCACAATGAGCTCAGAGTGACCTGTCAAGTGACTCAGCCCTGGAAGGGCGGATTCTGCCTAGGTTCAAGGACTCAGCAGCCTGCTTCAGGAGCTGGGGATTCTAGCATCATCTTGTGTGCCATTTTACAGCAGTGGGAACTGACCCTGAACTGAACTATTAGGAATCCAGTCAGTGGACAGGCCTGGCCTTGCTTCATAGGTCAATAGCATTAATGCCTACCTGAGAGCATTTTTCCCTGAGTTAGATCTTTTGATTGTGAATAGTCCTAGACAGGAGCAATGATGTCTTTGAATTTGTCTTTTAGATGTGAGCCATCCCTAATTCCTCACTGGTCCTGTTCTGACTTTTTTTTTTTTAATTTATTTGTTTATTATACAGTATCTGCCTGCATGTACACCTGCATGTCAGAAGAGGACACTATTTCTCATAATAGATGGTTTTTATGAGCCACCATGTGGTTGCTGGGAATTGAACTCAGGACCTCTGGAAGAGCAGTCAGTGCTCTTAACCTCTGAACCATCTCTCCAGCCCTCCTGTTCTGACTTTTTCTTTCCCTTTTCCACAGCGTGAGTGCATCTCCATCCACGTCGGCCAGGCTGGTGTCCAGATCGGCAATGCCTGCTGGGAACTCTACTGCCTGGAACATGGCATCCAGCCTGACGGCCAGATGCCAAGTGACAAGACCATTGGGGGAGGAGATGACTCCTTCAACACCTTCTTCAGTGAGACAGGCGCTGGCAAGCAT